ATTTTATTTTTGGGGGACCCCGAGTCTCCAAATCCTGCTGAAGAAGCCTTTCCATGGAGCTACAAAGTCTGTACTTCTGCCAGGTTGTTCCTCCGAGGATTATCTGTGATGATCCTCTGATCAAGAATCTTTAAGACTTCATTTTGCACATCCACAATAGGGATGTGGGTTTAAGGTTTTCTGAACCACTCACACCATATTTCTCAATTCTGGGAGTTCTATCTATCTTGCAGGCACCTGACAAATACTTCAGTGTGATACACCTGAGAGAAAGATCTAAATTAGAAGGCTTTAAGGCTTAACTAGGCCAAGCTCCACGCAGCTAGCAGCGGAGCAGGAAGAGGAAGCTTGAAATATTTCATCAGCGTGCTAACCAAAGAATTCCTACACTGAGAGTTTTTCCTAAGTCAACATATAAAACTGAAGTTTGTTTTGCATGCCTTAAACTAGTTGTGTTAGGGCTTACTCCTAAGCAAGCTTACACAGCACTGAACTTCGTTTTGTATGCTTATTGGGAAGGGTCTAAACCAGTAAGAATTGCATCTGTCCCTACCAGCTAGTAACATGTACAGCCTGATATTTATCCTAAAAAAAAGGATTTAGTCCTTGTGTTAGAAAAGCTTCCCTCCTCCTGGCTTAGGGCTTCTTATGTCCTGACCCAAAATGAATCAAAATCTGGCCCAGTCAATTTTGTGTGAGAATTGTGAAGTTTAGAATAATCAGGGCTTGTATGCCACTACTTCATATGCTGAAGTGGGGGTTTTAGAGGAGACGCCTTGGAAAATCCTGTGTGGTGGGATTTAGAGACCTGGTGTCTGAAACTCTAACTTAGTGAAGGGGTTTAGAAGTGAAAGAAAAGTGTCTGTTTGAGTGAAATTATCTGAGGTAAAAGTTTGAGGTAAATTGGTAAGAGAATTGCTGAAAAGCTGAGGGAGACCAAGATATTGGTGCAGTGACCTCCTGAGGTAAAAGTTGTGGTACAGTATGGCGTCACTGATAAAACCCAGTCCATTAGAGTGATTCTCTGAGGTAAAAGTTTGAGGTAGATTGATAGGAGAATCACTGGTAAGCTAAGGGAGACTAATCAATTGGTGTAGTGACTTTCCTGAGGTCGAGGTTTCGGATAAAGAAAGCATTCACTGATAAAACTTTAGCTCGGACACAGAGATAAGTATCAGGAAGATTTTAAACGTATTTCCTGAGGTAAAAGTGTTGGGGTAATTGTAAGGAAATAAAAATACATGACTCAAAAAGACAAAATTGAAACCACAGTTATTGAATCAGAACAATTTAGTGTTGAGAGAACTGGGGAGGTAATTCCTGCAAGCCCTGTTGATATTCTAGAGAGGTTGGCAGTTTGGAAAATAAAAATAAAAAAGGAATGGAAAAGGGTATAAGATTAAGGGAGTAGAATTAGAAAAAGAAATGAAAAGGAACAGATAAGAGTAAGGTAGCTAGAACTGGAAAAACCTTCCTGTTCCAAATGGCTTTTAACTGAAATAACATCAAATGTGGGTCTGATGGCAATTTTTAGAATATATATTTTAATTGCATTTTAATTATTTTGCCCTTTGATTTTGCCTTTTTATTATATTTTAAATGCTGTAAGCCTCCCAGAGACCTTCGGGTAGTGTGGGCGGCATATAAATTAAATAAATAAATAAATAAAAGGAAGAGGAGATCAGATTAAGAGAAATAGCAAAAGGAAAAAGAAAGGGAACATATAAGGTTAAGAGAGAAAGAAATGCACTTTCAGTAAAGAATTAGGATGAGGGAACTAGAATTGGCAGCCAAAATCCTCAAATTATGAAAATGGAACTGATATATCTGCTTAGATAGATACAAAGAAGGGATAATGTGGACTCTTTCTCACAATTTTTTAATGAATCTGTATTGAACTACAAGTTAAGCCTGATGAAAGAATGGGTTATTTTAGATCTCAGATTTGGGGGGGATTAGCAGAAATTTATGGAGAAATTAGATTGTGAATTATATAAGAACAGAGTAAAACAGAGGTTTGAGTTAACTGGTAAACATCATAGGAGGGAACTGAGAAATTTAAGGAGGAAACATGGTTAAAATTATACAGTACTCAGCTAGGTTGTTGTCCAGATTATTTACTGACTGGTTGGTGTGAAGTGTCATGTGTTTAAAACTAAGGAAGATATGATACTGTACATTTAAAAAGTGACAAGCCCGAGTAGGGGCCAGTCACAGTGATAAAAGAAACAATTCAAGGACACACTGAGATAGCAATGAAGACAAGCCCAAGTAGGGGCCAGACACAGTGATAAAAGAAAAATTCAAGGACACACTGAGATAGCAATGAAACAATTTAATATTGACAATGCCTATGGAACTCTAACTCAAAACTATAATATCTGGCAAAATGATGTCAAACAAGGGCCTAAAGAATCTGAAATAAGAAGAATCAAGGATGCACAAAGGAAAAGTGAAAAAGCAAGACTGCAGTTTCTCCACAGCCCAACAAGCGCAGAATCAGCTAACATGCCCCATCTATTTACATATCTTCACAAACATTGAAATTTTACCACTCATGTATATATGGCATCAAAAATGTCCAGTTGTTTGAGTTATTTCAATCTCCCGAGTTTATACTAGTTTGCCAAACTCTATTAAACCACCCAGACACATTTGCCTGTATCAATTGCCTCCCCCATGCGACAAAGAAGGACATGAAATCTTTACACTATACAGTATAACAGACCTGTTTCCCTCAGCTGCCTGTATCAACTGCCTCCTCCATGCAACAAAGAAGGACATGAAATCTTTATACAGTATAACAGACCTGTTTCCCTCAGACTTCAGTGAAGATAGATAAAAGCAACAAGGGATTATTGTTTAATGCTTTGTTTTGTTCTTTTGGAAATTTGATCCATCCTTCCACACTAGAAAGTTGAAACTTTGGGGCAGTCCACTCACACTGTTCTTTTTCTTAATCACCTCCAACACATTAGAAATCCAGATGATTTTGTGGGACAGAGACATTGCCTGTGCCAGAGATGGGGACTCAAGTCGCGGGACTCGCTGTCACATTTAAATCGCACTGGGGACACAACTCGGACGCAACAAAGGGATTTTTTTTTTAATGACTAGGACTTGACTCACAATTCAGAACCCACCCCTCAGAGTCGCGGGACTCGCTGTCAGATTTAAATCGCACTGGGGATACAACTCGGACACAACAAAGGGATTTTTTTTAATGACTAGACCTTGACTCACAATTCAGAACCCACCCCTCAATTTTTTTCAGAGGGGGGAAGCTTGTTTTTAATAGGGATTCAGACTTGGGATTTGGACTTGGTACCAAAACTCATACTCAAACTCGGTATTTCACACCAAAGACCCAGACTCGGACTTGGGATTCGAACCCAAAGACTTGCCAGCGTCACTGGCCTTCAGGGTATCCTTTTCTGAATGCTATTGACTGAGACATACTGTACAGCTAGTGGAGGTCCACAGTTTCAATCATCCTATGCTTGGGATGCATGCAGATCAGTTTCCCATATTGTTTTGAACCTTGCAGTGGACTTGTAGCTACCTTCTGTAAATCAGCTTTAGATTTACAAAATTTGCTTTTTTTGTTTAATTTAGAGGCACTATGCAGATATTTTCCAAGATCTGAGGACCTTCAGATTTTCCTTCTTACTTGGAATGAGGTTAGCAAATGTCAAGTGTTAATACTTTGGATCCATATAATTTCTAATCTTCGAGGCTTGCTTATAAACTATTCCTCATTTAGCAATTTTCCTCTGTAACATAGGTCTGTTGAGAATATGTGTTTCTATTTTATTTAATTGGGTTCTACCTAGGGATTAAAAATCTGGTTATGCAAAGAAAAGACACAATGATGGTGGGGATACTAACATTTTCACCCACATGTGCCATGATGCCAGTGTTTCTATGTACAGAGTGTATGATAGTCAAAGGCTTGGCTTCACAGTTATGGGCAAGAATGGAAGTGGAACTGCTGTTGGTTCATTTATCCCAATTTCAGTTTTTACTCACATTATTCAGTTGTCATTACTAATTAACTGAATCACCTAGGTATTTTATTTAAAATGATGCCCAGTGCAGGCTGTATCCTGATACCTGACATATGTCTCCACGATGGAAGATCATATTTTATAGTGTTTGTAGCTCTCAATCTACTTTTTTATCTAGAGCCCTTTTATCTACCAAAATATGATCCTAGTAATAATTTGCTGTAAGTCTTTACTTATCATAGACCCTGTATACTTAAAGTTGAACTGGCATAAAGTAACTCTGAGGTTAACTCAGCTATAATTCCAAAAAGGGGGTATTTAGGCAGAATAGGTTGGATTTTGAGTAATTTAATTTTAACCTTGTGTGTTACTTGAAATTAGATTTTGTGTATGTGTGTGTTGGTTTTTCAGTTCAGGGATTGCAGAATATGGATCTGTCAGTTAAAGCAAGAGATCATTGGCATATATTATTACTTAATTAAGTCTATCAGTTCTATGGCTGTAATCAGCCATAATGTGGACAGGGTCATCCCTTTTTTATCCTTCTAAACAGAACTGTAAATTTGGAATCTGTTTTCTTGATGTGTTAGGAAGTTCTGGATATTGGCCAAGATCTGTACAGTATTTGCATAAGTTTGCATTGTTTCAGATTTGAATCCTATACAACAGCTGAGCTAATGCCTTGGCTCTATAGACTTTCAGCGCTGTTGGTATAACTGGTTCTTGGACAGCAAACCCCAGAAATCCCGGCCAGTGGAGCTAATAATGGTGAAGGCTTCTGGGAGTTGTTGTCCCAGAACACCTGGGTTATTTATCCAAGGTGGGGAAACCACTGCTCTGATCCTAAGAAGAGGCAGAGCGGAGAAATGCAACAAAGCAGTCTTGTGACTCTGAAGGTTTGCCTCTTTGGGTCTTTTTATTTTCTTTCTTTCGTTGGCCTGAAAAAAAGGATCTAATACGAACCTTGAAATATATTGGTCGACGTGGCCGAGGCACTGGCAGGGAAGCGGTGGCGGAGCCTTGTTTTCCACCTCGCTCTCTAGGGGGCGCTCCTTCCCCGCCAGGAGCTGCGAGAGAGGGCGTGTCGGGGCGGGGCTTGGCGAGTCTTCTCACGCAGGAGGCGGAGCTGGGCGTCAATGACGGGGGTCGTGGGCGGGGCTTGCAGCGCGCCAAGGGGACAAAGGGAGAAGTGCGGCAGGGCGGAGCGTTTAGTGTCTCCGCGGTGGAGGCAGAGCGGGCAGGGAAAGCCCGGGGGACCTCGCACCGGAAGTAGGGGGGAAAACACTAGGCAGCCGGAAGTAGAGCCATGGCGGAGCGACCTGCGGAGAGAGGTGAGCTCACCTGTCATGTGACCGTCTTTCAGTCACGTGGCAGTGTAGTGTTCTCGTGGGTATTTGGTCTCGTTCGCCTCCCTTATTTAATTGTCAATTTTTACAAGGTCCGGGATTAAGGCATCTTTGGGAATCGCATTTCTTCTTCTTATTTCCAGAAACGTGGAAAAGGAAGTGAGGAAGCTCTTTCCTCTCCATGGAAGCGCCCTGTTCACATACGTTCAGAGACCATTCCCCCAATGTGTGTTTTTAAATCCATAGGGTCCCTTCCAGGTCTGCAGTTCTAAGATGATGGTGATTATGGCACGCATTTTCCATCTCTTTTGGACACCGCCTGGCTACTCGAGAGGGAGGAGATTGCAGTCCCTTTGTCTTTGCGTGTTCAGGAGTCCTCACGTGTCACATGTTATTGAATTGGAGTACTACTAGATCTTGTTTTGTAGTCCCCGTTAGCGTCTTAATCTTTTACCTTCCTTGAGATTTGTGATTTGCTTTCCAGCTTTAAACATCAATAAACTTCAATTAGATCCCCTTTTTCAGGCTGACAAGAAAATTAGGGGGAAAAAGTCCCCAAAATGCTAATTTTCACAGTCGCAAGGCTCGTCGGGCGTGATGGAGGGGGTCTTGAGACCTTGGAAACTAGCACATAAATTTTGTGCCCTTTTAAAATTATCCCAATAAAAATATCACCCTAAAATTTACAGAGTTGGATTCTCTGTTCAGTGAATTGTCAGCAAGTGAAGAATAAAATTAAAATCCAGAAATCTATGAAGATGTGGATAAGGAGTGGATTTCAATGTACTGTTACTTCATTGTGCCACTGGCTGTGCTGGATAGGGCTGGTGCAACTTGGGGAGCCAACAGTATCTGTAGACTGACATTTTACCTACCGTTACCTTGAAAATGGCCAAGGGGAGAACATGCAGTAGATGACTCTCAGAACGCATAATGATAGATAGCCATGTTTTGTGTAAATGTTGTCTTGTATTCTTTGCTCATGTCTCTTAACAGTGAACCACATGAAAATAGGATTTTGCTGTAATACATACTGTCAGTGGATAAAAACGGATATTTTTGGAAAGGAACGATAACAACTGAATCAGTAGTTTTAATGTGTACAACCTGGTTGTGGGCATATAATAGTGTGAGAGCCAATGCGGTGTAGTAGAATGTCAGATTCGGACACAGGGTTCAAATCCCTACTTGGCCATAGGAACTCCTAAGAGGTGCCAATGGCATACCACCCTTTGAGTATTAATCATGCCTTGAAAATTGTATTAGGATTGCTGTAAGTTAAAAGGAAAATCATTGTGCCTGAACTATCTCAGGTGCAGAATGTAGTTGTGGGACACAGTCCTCTTCAGAATTGATACTGGAGATTTCATACCTAATTTGTCCCTTTGTTTATTTTGTCCTCAGCTTACTACAGATTCCTTGTACTTTTCTTCAATTGTCTCTTGACCTTTGGCTCTTACTTCTGCTTTGATATCCCCAGTGTTTTGCAAGAGCAATTCCAAGGGGTAAGTGTTTGGGTGGAAAGAGGTAATGATCACTTTATGCAAGGTCATTTGGGCTGCAGTCTTGAGGCATATAGATTAAATCTGAGTGCAAGTATTTTTTGTGTTGCAAGAGAACTGTTTCTATCTTAGATGTTTGTTGGAATGATTTTTGCTGTCTCCAGAACAAATAAAAGTTTAAAATGTCACCAATTCCTGTGGACTAGATTTCTACACCTTGCTCAGAGCAATGGAGTCCATCACAAGCTGAAAATCTTTTCAAATCCTGGTATTTTCTCCCATGTATTTTACATTATGACTGACATGTTTGATTAATGGCTGAGTAGGCTCAGGCTGATGGGAGTTTTTGTCCAAAATGTCTGATGAATGTTAAGCTGAAGAAGTCTGCTTTCTGTTGGGGTGGATGACTTCCCATCCCAGAATCACATCCAGACCTTGGCTGAATTTCCAAATCCCCCCAAAAGGGACTCCTCAGTAACAGTTGTCTCTCTGTCTTCTGGCAGCCTGTTGAGCAGGAAAAGAGAGAAAGAAAGGAAATTTGTGACCTCATTTACTTCTGCCTTGTTCCTCTCTGATAGATTAGCCCCCAAAGAAATACGGCTTTTCAGAGAAAGATACCCCCCCACACCCTGTGCTTTGTGTAGGGCTGCAAGAGAGATGGATTGATTGGTACTAGGCTGCCATTAGTAGTTGCACTGAAGGGTACTGTCCCACTGCCAGTACTGAAATCAAACTTGACTGCCAGTCTGGCTGGATGTTTCGTTTGCATTGATGCAAGGATTTTTGTGTTGCAAGATAACTCTTTCTATCTTAGGTGTTTGTTGGAATGATTTTTGCTCTCTCCAGAACAAATAAAAGTTAAAAATGTCACCAATTCCTGTGGACTAGATTTCTACACCTTGTTTAGAGCAATGGAGTCCATCACAAGCTGAAAATCTTTTCACATCCTGGTATTCTCTCCCATGTATTTTACATTATGACTGACATGTTTGATTAATGGCTGAGTAGGCTCAGGCTGATGGGAGTTTTTGTCCAAAATGTCTGGTGAATGTTAAGCTCAAGAAGTCTGCTTTCTGTTGGGGTGGATGTCTTCCCATCCCAAAATCACATCCAGACCTTGGCTGAATTTCCAAATCCCCCCAAAAGGGACTCCTCAGTAACAGTTGTCTCTCTGTCTTCTGGCAGCCTATACATAGGATTGCAGCTTTGAAGTGTATTTGGTTGTGCATTTTGGCACTTTTTGCAAGTACAGTATATTGACAGGAATTAGGAATAAAGGACTCAGCAACATGCATGTATATATCTACTAAATCAAATCTAAATGCCACATGATAATCTTAGTTGTATGTATTTCAGGGTTTTTTATTTAGTATTTTCAGGCAGTGAATAAGCAAATCAGCAGGTACTGGTACTGCGGATAGGGGAGTCCTACTGTACATGATTTTTTCATGCTACCTCACCTTTGCCTGTGATTTCTCAGAGTATCACGGAATACTTTAATCTGTGGATCTGGAACCTTTCGTTCTCTAGAAGATGTCATAGGCTGTATCTCCAAGAAGCCTTGTCTTGCATGGCCAGTGGTAAGGGGTTATGGAAGCTGAAATGTAAAACATCTGGATGATTGAAGATTCCCTGCTCTTTTCATTATCAGTGGAGTAAAATGAGGCAAAAAGGCAGCTCTACATCTTGGCAGAATCAGGATGTCATCTACCTTGACCCTTGATTTTTGCTTGAATTTATGATCCCTTTTTTTAATGCCCAACTTTTAATATAGAATTTAACCTGTCCCAATGGAACACACTACAATGGCACTGGACATAACGGGACAGCAGAATGTGTGGAGGGCCTGGGAATGACACCTGAAGAATACAATCTTTTATACGCCATCTATGCCTGGACGTGAGTCTCTGTCACCTGTCATTTTTTCATAGAGAAAGATATGTATGTATGTAAATGCAAATGTTTACGGGAAAGGGGAATAAGTGGCAGAGGCCTACCTATAAACACTCTTGCATTTTCTTTTGTTTCTCCCATAGTAACGCACTGGTGGTGATAGTGGCTGGCTTCTTGATTGATAAACTTGGAAACCGCTGTAAGTTGGAAGGAGCTTTAAGTATGGCCAGTTGTTTTTCTTTGGCACTTGTCCGTCCAAACTCTTGTGGTAGCTGGAAAGGCTCTTCTTTGTTTTTTGAGAGCTAGGGTCGTTCGGAAGAACAAGAGGATCTGTTCTGCTCTTGTGCCTCTAGCCTTGGGAGGTGTCCCATTAGTACATGGGACATTTTATTTCCCAGCAAGCTTTGGAACTATGAGCGTGTATACATGTGTGTGTGTAGTATTTATCCTGATGTCTCATATTCATGATTATTATTGTTTTGATGTTTATGGACATATTTTGGTTTTACTTTTGGCATCTCCAACATGGAATGATGAAAAGAAATATAAATCCTCTTACAAATAAATATTCAAGTATAATTGGTTATAAATGTATTCAACCCGGTCACTTGTGGTGCATAAAACCCATTATATAGTGAGTTTAATTGATGTTGCAGTATTTTTTCAGCCAAATTTGCCAGAATAATGTATTGCAAAAATAACATCTAAAAAGTAATGCTACCAGCAATTTTAATTGTTAAACAAGATTTTTTTTCTTGGTAAACTCACCAGGGGGCAAATACCCATTTTAAAAAAAACAATAACCACGGACTTTGCACAAAGAATCATTTTAGAACAATAATTGATAGTTTTATGCTTCAGAAGGTCTAGCCCATACAGACAGTGATCGAGAATTCTGTAATCTATAAACCAAGCTATAAATGTCTTATTAGTGTTACTGATGAAGGAATATTATAAATTCTGTTTCAAATTTAATTTTTCTAACTCACGTGAATCAATTTTCAAACCTAATATTCCATGCTGTGCGTCTAGACAGATACTACCCAGACCCAGAATTATTTAGCTTTAGCAGGATGCCCTCAAAACCATGTGACATCAAGTCCATATGCATAATAAAAGACAAGTCAGCTAGTTCAGGGATCACCACCCCCAGTCCGTGGCCCGGTGCCAGTCCATGAACTTCCTGGAACTTGGCCATGGATACGGATCTCTGCCCCCCCACGTGCGGTGGGCATGTCTCTCTGCGGGCACGACATGCCCACCTGTGAGTGTGACATGCCCCCTCCGCTCACGGAGCCCACACCCTCCAACCGGTCCACGGTCCCAAAAAAGTTGGGGACTGCTGAGCTAGTTAACTGATTGAATGCCTTCCAAGTTCAGCCTTGAGTTTGATAATAGGATGCTTTGTGCTCTCAGTGGTAAGAATGGGACACAAAACAAAGATTTTCAGTCCCCTCTGATATTTAAACTATTTCTCTCAAATATTAGACATTTGCTCCTTTTAGACTGAGCAGGTTCTCCAATGATTTGTCCTCCTTTCCACAAAGTCAAATTACATATTGTCCCAAACAGCCAAATGATTTTGTCACCTGAGAAGGAAATCCCACAAGCAATGGATATTTGCAACTCTTCTCTATCAATATTAAATATGTTGCCAGAGAGTTTGGATAGGAGAGAGAGCCATTTGGTGATCATATAATAACTGCAGCCAGAATACTATACAGTGGTGCCTCGACATACAAACTTAATTGGTTCTGGAACTCCGGTTATTACTCGAAATGGTCGTAAGCCGAAGCACAATTTCCCATAGGAATGCATTGAAATGCAATTAATCTATTCTGGCTGAAGAAAAAAAAATCACCAAAAAAACCCACAAACCACTGCAAGACTCATTGGAAATGTGATTAATCCCTTCCAGCTGAAGAGGGGGGGGGAAGAAAAGCAAACAAACCGTGGAAGACCCCTCGGAAATGCAAAAAAAGCAAAGCAGGAAGCAAACAAACCCACACCTTTGTTTTGTTCTTGTCTTTTACTCCAAATCAGATTTTTGTTCATTTTGTTATAATGCAATTTGAAAGGCGGGTGAGTTTCTGTTGAGGAGACTAAAGAGGCTTTCCCATAGTTTACCATTGTTGCTCCATCCACACACCCTGTGCTGCTTTTGTGGCCTATTACGTTATTGCTACTTTTCTGTTTAATAAGCTTCGAAGAATTTCATCAAAATGGATTCTTCTGAGAAGAGTATTTGGTATCTTTGAAGAGATGCTTATATTTGCGGCAAACAGGAAAAAACAAACCTTAGCAATGCTGCCCTGTTGTACGCCCTTCCACTTTATAGGTGGCATTTATGTACTCAAGAGTTATTGCAGGGTGTCATAAACCTGAATTTGGTAGTTTGTTTCCTTTTAGCCTCCGGTTTGGATTCCTGCTTTACACCCAGACCTCTAGTCCTCACCATGTTCTCCCATGTGTTTTTCTCTTTCTCTCCTCAGTTGGAGTGTTTGTTTTCTCTTTCCTTACCGTCCTGGGCTCGTCCATTTTTGCCCTGGGCTCTCACTTCAAAGGAACACCATACCTTTTGCCACTCATGCTGACGGGCAGGTTGCTTTTTGGCTCTGGAAATGGATCACTCACAAGTAAGAAACAACCACAACAAGCATATATTTTCCTTTGTTAGGCTGTGACCATGCCTGCATTTTATGCTAACCCATGGTTGAGTGCTATCCAGATGAGGCTCGGTGAGGCTGTCAAAAGTCTGACTTGATGAAGTAGTGGGCTTAATAGTTACCGTGTTTCCCCCAAAATAAGACAGGGTCTTATATTAATTTTTGCTCAAAAAAAAAAAAAAACCACATTAGAACTTATTTTCAGAGGATGTTTTATTTTTTTAATTATTGCAGGGTGTCATAAACCTAAATTTGGTAGTTCCTTTTAGCCTCCATTTCGATTCCTGCTTTACACCCAGACCTCTAGTCCTCACCATGTTCTCCCATGTGTTTTTCTCTTTCTCTCCTCAGTTGGAGTGTTTGTTTTCTCTTTCCTTACCGTCCTGGGCTCGTCCATTTTTGCCCTGGGCTCTCACTTCAAAGGAACACCATACCTTTTGCCACTCATGCTGACGGGCAGGTTGCTTTTTGGCTCTGGAAATGGATCACTGACAAGTAAGAACCAACCACAACAAGCATCTTTTCCTACCAGGCTGGCTCTTCCCCCAGGAGGCACAGTCGGAATATAACAACAACATGCCATCAAGTTGATTTCAACTTATGGTGACCCTTTCCAGGGTTTTCCAGGTAGAGAATAATCAGAAGTGGTTTATCATTCCCTTCTTCTGGGAGCATTTTGGGACTGTGAAGGCCACCCAGGCTAGCTCTTCGCCCAGGAGGTACCGTGGGGAATCAAACCCCCAACTTCTGGTTTTGCTGCCAGATACCTAAACCATTGAGCTATCCAGCCAGCTTAATTCTGATAATGCTGTAACTTTATTGTAGCTATTATTTCTAACATTGTAATTTTTCTGTTTTGTGTGGTAGTTTTGTAATTCCTGCAGTCAATTGTACAGGCTGTTTTTTGATCTACACTCCTAGTGTTTAAAGTAGTCAAATCTTGGCCTTATAGGTTTGTTTTGGGAAGAGCATGTAAATAGAACTGAGTTTTGATTTATCATGGTTAATTTTGAACTCTGTGCTTGCTTGACAGTGTTGTTAAAGTTTAGCCATGTGATGTTAAAGCTTGTGGTGAATTCATGATGATGATAACCATCTTTGAACTGCAGACCTGGAAGGGACCTTATGGATCGGGTCCAGCCCCTCTCAAGGAGGCACAGTGGGGAATTGAACTCCCAACCTCTGGCTCCACAGCCAGAGACCTAAGCCACTGAGCTTGAGTATTTCAATGCAAATTCTTTCTTCATTACTTCGTAGTATTGCTCATTACTTCGTAGTATTGCTGTTGAGATGTTAGGGTGGAACTTTCGTTATCAAAATAATAGGCTGCATTCTTTTTTCTTCGGTTGTTGTTTGGAGGGTAGTGTTGTTTCAAGTCTCTGGGTTTCTTATACAGTGTCTTTGGTAGGGAGTTGACGAGGGTAATTATTAAATGTCATGATCAGATGTAATGATCATAGAAGTTGGTATAGAACCAATCTGGGATTGAATTTTTTTTTGGAAACTAATAAATGGTGTACACATATCAAACAAAAGAGGGTGCTAATGAAATTAAAATAAATTGGTCTGTTATTTATGAAAAAGTGTATTGAAGTTCAAAATCAAGAGGGGTTGCAATTATTACTTCTAAAAATGATTTCAAAATGAATAAAGTGAAGAAAGATAGTAAAGTATAATATATAATGTTACAAGGAACATTAAAAAAGAGGACCATAATTTGATCAATGGTTATTCTCTGAATTGAAACCAAATTACTTTTTAAAAAGAATTATTTAAAGTGGTAGAAGAGATAAGCAAAGAGTTTGTAATAATGGCTGTGAAGTTTGACATGGTTATGGATAAAGAGGAAGATAAATCAAACCCCTACCAAAACAGAAGAAAATGATAATGATACATCCCTGAATAAAATAATTAAGAAAATGGATTTTAAGAAGTGATGACAGGAGATGGAGATATGAGTCCTTCTACAAGAGATTACTATATATTTGTGCGAGAAAGGGGACAGGGAGAAAACTCCCCTGGTTGGGTGTGCTGTTCCACTGAGACAGTTGAGTTCAGGACTTCTGTCTCCACCCTGGACATGGGTGAGCGACCAGAAAGAGAAACCCAGTTGGAAGAGGAGGCATCAGAGGGAAAAGAGGGGATAAAAGAAGGGAAGGCAGAGGAGGCCAGGCAGAGAGAGAAAAAGGGGACAGAGTGGAGGAGAGAAGGAAGAAGAGATTTGTTTAGGAGAGGAGGAAAAGACCGGAGGGTGGGAATGGATTACTAAGGAGGAACCTTGGACAGGGAAACTAGTTCAGTTTCAGTACCTATAGAGGAAGCTGAATGCCAGAGACAGCACCAGCTCCCTCGGAAGCTGTCTTTTTTGGGAAGAAAGAAAGAGGAGGGAGTATCATTGTCAGGAGCAAGAAAGAGCGGCAGTGGATCTGGATAAGCAACAGGGAATGGAATAGAGTTCCCTGAGCAGGAATAGCTACAACAACTTATCAACACCCAGAGAGCCAAGATGATAAGGGAAGATGAGAGAGAAAGATCTAGACGTCCCTGTTGCAATACCTTCTGCATGACCCGGCATCAACCCCCTCCCTGTTCCTTGGAGGAAGATACAGCTGAGAGCTGAAGACCCTTAACTTTGGTAGACTTTGCTTTGGGTCTTAATTGAATCATGAAAGATTACACCACTGATTGAGTTACGTACTCTTGTGATGTGCTATCTGCTGCTTTAACCCCCACTCTTTTTTTTCAGTACTCTGTTTCTTGTAAGTGTCCTTCTTGGGCATTTTATGGAAAGACTGGATGTAAATTATATTTTCCAGTTATTGCTTAGATTTTAGCCTCTTTTTCCTCCTGTCAGCTGATAAGGTTCACAGTTGCCTACCCTTTTTATCCTACCCTTTTATCCAGCCACGCTGTCAAGTGAGTCCGGCTGGGGGAGAGTGTTTCACTCATTAACACACATTTCTCTTTTACTTTTTGAGTTGTGCAGAATCGCATCACTGCCATTTGGTTCAAGGGGAAGGAGCTGGCTTTGGCATTTGGGCTCACACTGTCCTTCTCCCGACTTGGAAGTGTCCTCAATTTTTTCTTCACTCAGCAGTTTGAAAGCCACTTTGGTATCCAGTGGACCCTCTGGGGGGGTGAGTTTCCCTTTGAATATTATCTTGGATAGACGTTGAAAAGATTACTGTGCTGGTCATGGAATTTTGGACGTTGGAAACATGGAAACTTTTCAAGCTCTAGTGTTTGGTTTGTTCTGTTTCTAGAACGACCCATGTAAATTCAGAAAGATTTAGAAGGATCGGTATGTCTTGAAACAGAGATACTCTTCTGTTAATTGAGGGCAGGATTATAGCTCAGTAGTAAAACACACACTTTGCATGCAGCGTGTCCCAGGCCTGATCACTATCATACCCAGTAGGGGGAGAAAGAACAACATATAACTGGAGCCCATCAGGACAGACCAGCCTTCATCCATCTTCCATAATTCCCAGCTGACTAAGGGGTTGTGGTCAAGGCTGGTGTAGGTGCTGTCCCTGTTCAGACCAGTGGCACTGGTTCATAGAAGAGAATCCTAGAACAGTAGAGTTGGAAAGGGCCATCGAGTCCAGCCACCTGCTCAGTACAGGAATCCGAATCAAAGCAGATCTGACAGATGGATTACAAGGCAGACTTCTTTGTTCCTCTAAAGTACTTAGTTTGTCAAAAGGAACACATTTTCCTAAAATTCAACATATAGCTGATCAGAATGTTTCTCCTAGTTGCTAAAAGCATGATGATTTTAATCTGCCTTCTAGAATGCAGTTGCTGTAATGTTACTGATACTTGTGACCAGAGACTGCTAAACTTACTTTCTCGGCTTTCAGTTACAGTACCAGCCACCCTGCTGGTTGGTGCATGCTGGGAGTTGTAGATCCTAATAGTAACTTTCCTAAGTCTGTGTATTCTCGAAGGCTTTCACGGCCAGGATCTGATGGTGATTGTGGGTTTTTCGGGTTCTTTGGCCGTGTTCTGAAGGTTGTTCTTCCTGATGTTTTGCCAGTCTCTGTGGCCGGCATCTTCAGAGGTCTGGAGTAGGAACTCAGCCCATGCTCTGTTGCTGTTGGATAGTAGAGTATTTATAGCTGTGGGAACAGCTTTTTTTCCTAAGTCTGCTTGTAATGACAGTGCCTTTGATATCACTGGTGAGAAGTGAAACAGTTTTCTCATATACAATATATTGTTTTGGCTGCAGTGTAGGCACTGATTACACTGATGAGTTAAAGTGTGTGCATGTGGGGGTGGGGTGGGGTAGGGGTGTGTGTTCCTTACTAGCTTCATCTCTGCAACGAGTCTATATAGTCTTGCTCTGAGAGCTTAGCTGGGTTCCCAACACATTTGAGTCTAACACTCTTAAAGTCTTCCAGAAATTGAGATTCTATTAAAGGTTTCTTCTTTCTCTCTAGGAACTTTGCTATGCTTGCTGGGATTTCTTTCAGCAATCATGGTCAGCATGCTGGATAAAGTTGGCATGAAGCAGCTTGGCTTGGATGGAGTTATCCAGCAGGAATCCAAGAAAGTGGTACGTGGGGCAGAAAACAATTGCCTAGTCTTTATTTGTTTGTTTGTTTTTGGTTTACTTTGCTTGCTGGATTTTGAGAAGATTATTTATTAATGGCAGCCCAGAGGGGGAGCTAATAAAATCACTGGTAGCCGGCAGTTTGGGGCCATCCAGAGCCACAATAAGTTCCTTGTTCTTTAAGTCTGGATAGAAAGCCACTGATGCCTCAGAAAGATTGTTGTATAGATGGTTGATGTGGATGCATGATCTGTGCAAAAGGAAAGACAAAGATGTCCTCGTTTGTTGGGGAGCTTGGCAGCAACAGCAACAGCTGGCTGATCCTTCAACTCCAGACGCCCTCATGTGGGATGGTATGACATCACTGAACTGCTGAGATAACCAACACACACACACAGTAGAGAAACTACTATGACCTGGGCAATCTAAAGGTGTTTTATACCCTAGTTTCCCTTTGTTGAAAATGGTAGGGAGGAATGGAGACAATGCCCCCCTTCCCAAAATGGGGCAAACTTGTGTTGAATGGCAGGACTCTTTATCAGGTCAGTCCATTATTGTTTTGCTACTCCTGGACTTACTGCTCCCACTAAGCTGATACCACAGCATTTATGAAGTAATCTATAACTGTGTTTCATGTAGCAAATTTCCAGTACAAAGTCCAACGTTGCCTTTGAGTGATAGCTTTACTTGCAGATGATGAAAATCGTTGAAGTCTAGTGCCAAGAATGCTTTTCTGCATCCAAGTCCCCTGAGTCTAGGCGAAACTAAAGCCTGCACCACACAGCCACTTGATCTTTTGCTTTGGTAGCCAGCTCTTTCATGCCCATTCCTCTTCTTTGCATAACCCATCAGTGTTTCCTTCTTCTGACATTAAGCCTGGGGACAGAGCCTACAGCCCAGATATAACCCAGAGCGCTCAGATGTCTAAGCTTTCAATAAAGACAAGTGACAAACTTTTTCTCCTTCAATTTACAGCGGGTTCAGGATATCCGCCAACTTCCCCTTCGTTACTGGCTTCTGGTTCTCACCATCATGTTCTTCTACAACGGGGTCTTTCCCTTCGTGGCAGATGCCAGGTAAAACGTTCCAAGTATTGCTAGTGCTATCAGTCGCTCATGGCCCAAGCAGAGATCTCTCTCTCCACCATTTTGAGGGGAGGTGCTCCTTCCCTCTATTGGGCCATAGGTCCATCACTACAGAAGAAAAAGTATTTTGGCCATTACAGAATAAAATCATTGGAGTGACCCTTTTGCAGATATATTTTCATAGAATCATAGAACAAATAAGTTGAAAGGGGCCTATAAAACCATTGAGCCCAACCCCCTGATCAGTGCAGGAATCCAAATCAAAGCAGATCCGACAGATGCTTGTCCAGTTTTCTCTTGAATGCCTCCAGTGTTGGAGTGCTCACCACCTCCCAAGGGAATTGGTTCCATCATCATACTGCTCTAACACTTAGGTTTTTCCTGATATTCAGCCTAAATCTGGCTTCCTGTGGCTTGAGCCCATTATTACATGTCCTGCAGTCAGGGAAGATCGAGAACAGATTCTGGCCCAACTCTGTATGACTAACAGATATTTGAAAAGTGCTGTCATATCTCTTTTCAGTCTTTTAATCTCATGGTTAAACATACCCAATTCTTTCAGTCTTTCCTCATAGGGTTTTGTTTTCAGCCCCCTGATCATCTTTCTTGCCCTCCTCTGAACTTGCTCCAGTTTGTTTGCATCATTCTTAAAGTGTGATGTCCAGAACTGGACACAGTACTCTAGATGAGGCCTAACCAATGCTGAATTGATAGGGGACAGTCCAATAGAGTGATCCTTTCGCAGATGTATTTTTGCACAATTTGTCTAATTCTACAAGCTTTATTTTGATAGGGGACAGTCCAATAGAGTGATCCTTTCGCAGATGTATTTTTGCACAATTTGTCTAATTCTACAAGCTTTATTTATCTAGATTGCGTCTTTGTTCCGTATGCACAAATATACTTCAGATTTTTTGTTAAATACAAAAGTCTTACAACTATGAAGAAAAATGTAGGCAGAAGTACTAAAAATCCTTCCTTGCAACTTGTAAAAAAATTCCAGGTATTTTAATTTATCTAGATATTTTAAATTAATTGATTAAGTCATTTCTGAATCCAAAATACAGTAGCAAAGGTACAATAAAATATTGAAAAGAATGTTTTAAGTTAAATTTGAAAAAGCAGAAACTTATAGCCTAATAAAGCAGATTTAAGAAGAAAAGACAGAATACATCTCTAAAAGGTTCTAAGTTGCTAATACTGTTAATCAATTAAATTAGAATATATTACTCAGCCTTTTGGAATGTTTGGACACACGCAGAGGATTTATTAAATAATGTTCTATGCAAGCCAGTTAAAATATATGGAGGAAAATCCAATAAGTTTGTGAGTTGCTTCTGTGTCCAACTTTCCAGAGAGCAAATTTAGTGCTGAGAGTGCTGGACTAAGATTTGGAAAGCTGTACTTCTAAAAAGTCATTTTTCTGTACTTTGCTGAAGTGGGAACATGGAATGAAGAAAGTGGACAGAGTATTTTTTTAGTCTCCAGGCACCACAACTTGAGAATCATCCAATGAATCTGAAAGGTAGGAGATTTATGGCAGATAAAAGGAAGGGTCTGTGACAAACCCAGACCTACTGGGATCTGCCACACTTAACTAAGCTGCCACCAACCATTCCCTATAAGAAGTCACACAGACCAGGGATGGATTTTTAAACAAATAAAAGAACAAGGTTTATTTAAATACAACACACAGGGAAAATAAAATAATCAGGTGAATAAGATAAAGTAACGTGGCTTAGTTTCACTCATACATACACACAGTTTGGTTCACACAGAACCCTTAACTTGAAGCACAGACCCTGAACCTATCAGTTCTGGCTAACCAACAGACACCTGAACCTATCAGGTTGGTACTCTGACACACAGTAGTACCCTGTCTGACACACAGACTCCCACACCAGCTTCTTCTTCCCAGCTGCTGCTTCGTCACATCCCAGCGTCTCCCTTCACCACAACACCACACACGCTCCACATATATATACAGTACAGCCCCTCCTCCTGATGTCCCGCCTTCCACTCCCCATAGGATGGAACTTTCCCTCCAAACCCATGACAGACAGGTAACATCAGTGCTGTATGTAACACCTCCCCTCTTTATAAGTTGTTTTGTAGGGGGAAAGCTAAGGTGCTTTTTCCCAAAAAAACAACCTGGATAAAACACACAACAACAGTTATACATACCATATCATACTTACTTATACTTACATTCTAAGTTAACCATAGCAATTAGGCATTTAAACATTTACCATATACATTACATCAATTTACCTTTATTCATACAAACCAAATTCAAAAAACAGGTACATTTAACTTTTTGTCATCAATATATATACATAGTCCATGTTTCTTTCGCCGTCTTCATTCTTCAGGTCTTCTTGACAAGGCGTCAGCAACACAGTTCACTGACCCTCTGACCACCTTCACTTCAAAGTCATAGTCCTGTAGGTTTAAAGCCCACCTCATAAGTTTGCTATTGTGGGTTTTCATTGTCTTTAACCATTGCAATGGTGAATGGTCAGTGCACAGAACAAAATGTCTTCCCCAGATGTAAGGCTTGGCCTTCTGGATCGCGTAGACTATGGCCAAACACTCCTTCTCCACGGTTGCCAAATGTCTCTCACCTTTTTGAAGTTTCCTACTCAGGTAGGACACTGGATGCTGGTCACCATTCTCATCCTCCTGGCACAGAACTGCTCCTACCCCGCTGTTAGACGCATCGGTGTAGATGATGAACTCCCGGTCGAAGTCTGGAGCACGCAGCACTGGATAGTTGATGAGCGCCTGCTTCAACCTCTGGAACGCCTCCTCACAGTCGCTGGTCCACGGGATGCGGTCATCAGCCGTCTTCCTCGTCAGATCGGTCAGCGGAGCCGCAATCTCGCTAAACCTCGGGATGAACTTTCTGTAGTAGCCCACCAACCCAAGAAATGATTTGACTTTTTTCTTGGTGTTGGGTCTAGGCCAATCACGAACAGCTTCTATTTTGGCCTCCAGGGGTTTTATCATTCCTCCCCCTACCATGTGACCCAAGTATTTTATTTCTGGGCTACCCAGCTGACACTTGCTGGCCTTTACCGTTAGCCCTGCTGCACTTAACCTCTGCAGCACTAACTCCAGGTGTATCAGGTGATCTTCCCAGGTATTACTGAAGATCCCTATGTCATCAATGTAGGCCACTGTAAAGTCACTGAGCCCTGCCAAGGTCTGGTCCATCAGCCTTTGGAATGTGGCTGGTGCATTTCTGAGACCAAAGCTCAGGACTCGAAACTCATAGAGACCAAAAGGGCTGCAAAAGGCAGTCTTTTCTTGATCCCTGGGATCAATTCTTAATTGCCAATATCCCTTTACCAGGTCCAATGATGAGATGAACCGACAACCCCCTATGGTTTCAATCAGGTTGTCTAGCCTGGGCATTGGGTAGGCATCAGGAGTGGTTACACGGTTTAACTTCCTGTAATCAACACAAAACCTAATGCTCCCATCAGGCTTGTCCACAAGGACTATCGGAGAGGACCAAGGACTAGAAGAGGGGACGATTATGTTCTCCCTAAGCATCTCGTCCAGCTCCTTCCGCACCTTGTCCCTATAGGGTCCCGTTACTCGGTATGGGGATACTGCCTGCGGGGGTGCATCCCCTGTGTGGATCCGATGCATCACTCCCTTCACTATCCCCGGCTTGTTGGAAAACACCTGCTGATATTTACTAAGCAGCATTTTTAATTCTTGCTGCTGGTCTTGGGTGAGTGCAGGACTGATATTGACCTCCTCTGGGTTGTATTTTACTTCCCCTCTACCCTCCCAGAAGGGTAATTCAGCTTCCTCACTCTCAGCTGCTTTTATAGCAAATAGAACCCTCTGTTCCCCTCTGTAGTAGGGTTTTAGGGCATTCACATGAACCACCCTCCTTGCTTGGTTCTCCTCCTGCTCTATAAGGTAGTTCAGGTCTGACATCTTGGAAATGACCCTATATGGTCCTGCCCATTTGAGCTGCAGCTTATTCTCTCTGCAGGGCCTAAGCCAAAGCACTTCCTCCCCTGGGTCAAAGTGCCTCTCTCTAGCTTTGCGGTCATACCATGTTTTCTGTTTGACCTTCTGCGCTTGCAGGTTTTCTGCTGCCAGCTCTAGATTTCGCTTTAGGTCATTCATCAAGGTGTCTATGTATGTCACAACGTCTAGTGGGTCATCCTGGGTGATCTGCTCCCAATTTTGTTTGATCAAATCAAGGGGCCGTTTCTTCTGAAATATTAGTTTCAAACCTGATCTCTTCAGAAGGAGTTGGAGAGATATTTTCTAGCTTGAGTTCAGGAAAATGAAAAGCTTTTTCTCCTTACCTAGAGAAGCTTCCTCCCTTTTGTTTCTTCTACTGGCACACAAAGACTACTCAGGCAGGCCTTTGGCAGGTGACCTACACTAGGGTTTTTTTTAGCTTGGGGGGTACTTTTCTTTTATTAGTGTGCCTTTGAGTTGTGATTTATCGTTTTTATTCATTTCATAAATCTCTTTCATCTCTGTTCTTCTATGTTTCTATTATTTTACATGTCTGTACTATTTAATTATAACTTGTCTTGAATCCTATTCAGGATATAAATTAAATGAATGAATAGTAATTTCTTCCATGAAGATGCAGTCCTTCCTGTCAAGACAGAAGGCTGTGGTAGACGCATCCTTTTGTGTGTATACAAGGAGCTAAAGCACCAACAACTCTCCAGCTTGTCAGCAGAGATTTCTCCTTGTGTTGCAATCTAGGATATTTGAACAGGGCGAACTTTGTCCGTACAAAATATGTGTTGTGCTGTGGAGGAATGAACCCATTCTTGAACTAAGAGCTAAAAGAAGGGTATAAATTGTGTAGCACTTCTTTGCAAGCTCCCTTCTTGGCTTCTTTCAGTTCTGATGTTTTTTAAAGTGCCCTTTGCTATTCTGATTTCTACATTCAGTAGGTTGCATATTGGAAGGTGGTGGTTGTAGTTGTGGTTCTCCTTCCCCGCTTGGTCCTTAACAAAGAGTAAGGGAAACAATAACGTCTGTGTTAACCTTTCTTCTCCTGTGTCAAATCACAGGCTGTAAGTTCTTCAGGGCTAGAAGTTGTTCTCTTGTACTTTGTCAAATGCCTTTGCATGCTGGTGATCCTCTGGCTTGTGATGAAATCTCCTTCTAATAAGACTTCGCCTTGTCTCTTTTCCTCAGGACTACGTAGGACTGAGAGGTTTGTTTGCCCTTGGCTGTGCAGTGCTGACGTTGCCCGTCTTTGCTCTGCTGGCCTTTACATTTGTTCCTCCGCTTGTCTCGACCATCTGGCTGGGCATTACCTACTCCTTTGCAGCAGTAAGTCAATGGAAATGTCATGTGTTCACTCACTGTTGTTTTCTAATTTATATTAAACTGAATAGAACATCTGCCTCATTTATCTAGCCTTGCTTTATCAAAGGATATAGCCAGATCATTTCCTTTTCTTTTTACCTCTTGAAAACAGTGGATGGGGAAAAGATAAGCTTTTCCCCATCCACTGGGAAAACCTCCCCTAAACATAACTGGGATTTGTCCTCTCCACTACACTACCATATATGCCAGGTCATGTTCAGCTGCTGGATTCAGCATCTTGAAAGAAAATGCAGAAGATAATTATTACTGAGAAGCTTCTATGGTATGCAACAGCCACCCTTTTAATATCTAAATCTCTTTTGGGGGCCTGGATTCTTTAGGCAGGCACTTAAATGTTTTTGTTGACATTAGCCCTTGTTGAAGGTGGTGAGACTCTGGAATTCTTCAGATAGTTCTGTGCAGGGTTCCCAGACTGGCCACTTGGCTTGTGGGTGTCTGGGATGGTGACACACCTTGATTGGCTGCTTGAGCACCAAGGCTTATCCACCCATTGAGGCTGATCATATGACAGTGAGAAATGTACCAAGTGTGCTAAAAGCTGGTATGCTTAATTTGACCATTAGGATGAGTAAGTCCCAGGAAAGTGTTGCATGCTGAGTAAGTAGCTCTTGGCATCCATTCAAAGAAAGAAAAAGTATTATTTTTCCCTGTCTTTTCCATCTGTTCAGTTTCTACATTTGAACTTTCTCTGCAGTCTCCCTGGTCCATCCTTACTGTTCTTTTAAGGGATTAATCTCATTTAAAGTCTGGTCCTATATTGTTTAATTGTTGGATCAAAAGCTTTGTTTTTCTTCTTTAAATAGGGGCCTATCTTTTCGATACCCACAAAGCTCAGATGAACTCAGCTACTACAAATCTCACTTTTAACTGGCACAAAGATCATGTGAAGATATAAGGCTTTGCACCAGAAAAATACCAAATTATTAGTCAGGCCTATATCATCTGAAATGAAAGGCTTTCCTTAGATGTCTGTTGATTTATATTGCAAACTATTGGATTATTGTACAATGTGAGAAAGAGGAAATATTAATGTTATGTATATATTAATGTAGAACATTTTAAAATAATTTATTACCAGTGTTTTTGATACTTTGTATTCAGGCAATTTAAAAGTCGGTTCTCATTTTAATATTTTTAATTGGGCCTTCCTAGAGCCATGTCATGCAGGAGTCATCTCCAAATAATCTTCATTAATTCCAGCCAAAAAGAACATTCAATAAAGTATCTATAGCTTATAAATATATCTGTACATCTGCAAAATGGTTGTGTCAACCTACAGTTATGCACTATGGCAATGCACAACCTTGTGTTCCCAGGTGTTCCTAGATCACAACTTCCAAAAATCCTGTCAGCACAGGTAGTGGTGAAAAATTTTGTGTGTTTTAGTCCAAGAATATCTGGGTGCTCAAGGTTGGAAACCACTGCACGATGATATCCATGAATCAGTTTTCAGTTGGAGAGGAGTCCTCATTCCCATTCGTAGGTCAAACTGTCTGATGATGGTTCGAAATGCAGTAAAATAAAAACTGGTTTTAATAAGTTACATCCTTTATTAGTTTTCTTTTTAAGGTTGGGATGGTATTTAGTTATATATTTCAGTGATATTATTGAGGAAAAGTATTTTAATTATGAGAGAAATAGAAAATGTTTAAAATGAATAATGAATGGGCAATTTTATCTATATTATATTTTAATTTGTGCACATTTCCATCCTTGACCCCTTTAGGAAATGTAGCCCTTGCCCTCCTGAGGTCACTTACATCTGAATTATGATGTTTCATTATAGGAGGCTGCAAAGAAACTGTTGTGGCTTCTGTAAGAGTGGCATTGTGTGTTCTTTTGCCTCTTGGATGTTAACACTTACTTTAAAAGGTTGAATATCTGATTGTACTCACATGTTGAACGGGTACTGGAATTATGGATAAGCCAGACCATGCCCCAGATGTATGATTTAGCAATCTGTAAAAAAAAATCTGGCCATGTGTTGCTCCAGTCTATGCCTAATTAAAATTAGTTTGCTTGAGGCTTGCTCACCAGAAGTGAACTTTGTGTCGACTACTGTCATTCTGTTAATTATTGAACTGTTTGGGTAAAATCCTCTTGGAATCTTCACTTCTCCAACGGCTTGCTTTCTCACTTGTTCTTGTTTTCTCTGTTTCCAACCACTTGTTGACAGGCTAGCATGTGGCCCTCCATACCCCTTGTGGTTCCCCAGGCAACTCTGGGAACAGCCATGGGGCTTGCGACATCTGTACAGATGATAGGAATTGGTCTCTCTAATGTGATTGTGGGAAAGATTCTGGGAACAAAATCCAGGTGAGAGCAAATGGCTTTCTTCCCTCCTCTAAGCTGAGGCAAACATTTGTGCAATCAAGAAAGGGCCACTACACTGAAAATGCATCAGACTGAATTCCAGAACCCTTGCTTTGCTTTGAGAGGCACCCTGTAAAGAGTCTAATTGGCAGAAAGACTGCCAGCCCCCTAGCGATTGCAGTTCCCATGGAGTTTAGGTACTCCCACCCATTTCATCTGTCTCCTTCACAGGAGCAAAATGGCTGATGGAGCCTTCATTACCATGCCTGCGAGATGTTGAAAACTCCTATGAGGACTTGGACTTTGATCGCTTGTTTAAAGAAATACAGAAGTCCTATGCCTACACTGTTTAGCCCAGGCTTATATGGAACATGCTGTGTGTCTTTATACAGTATATGTGGAGAGATAAATTCTATCGAAATTGCTTCTCTTTTTATCTGCTTTCCCTCCCCAACAGTGAATTAAAGATCCCTTTATGGCGCTGGCAGCACATGATGATCTTCATGCTGGCAAATACCATTGCTTGCATTATTGTTGCTATCGGTCTCAACATAATAGATAAGAAGAAGGTAAGAATTAGTTTTTGGGGTGCCTCCAAATGTGGGACCAGATTTCAGTCTGGAAATATTTTTTATTTGTTACATGTTTCTATAGTTAAGATATGCAGATAGAAGAAGAGAACATGCTGTCAGGCTTGGCTAAAGCTTCAGACCCTGCCTGGTTCCGCCAAGAGACTGGTGATGATGATGGCAGAGGAGTTTTGTTTATCACTTTGATCTCTTGTGACCTGGATTTCAGTACCTGATAAAAGTGACTATCAGTACATCAGCCTGTTTTGACCACCTGACCAGTACTGAGATGAGTTACAGTTTTAGTTGCCATTGTGCCAATAGCGCAGTTCAAAACGGGATGCTCTTTGGTGAGAATCCTCTTGGTAACTTACAGTAGCCAACTGATGAGGTACTATGGGTATATCTCAGTTGCAGAGTTGTGCACATTATTAGGCACAGCATTAGTTAGTCACAGTGAGTTACGCAATCCTTACAGGAACAATAGGATTCTGGTTATTACAACAGTGCTGATTAAAAGTATGCAACTAAGAATAATTTTATATTAGCGCAGACTCTGGGGGATGAGTCCTTCTGTCTGCCAAATACAAAATTTAACGTTTTGTATTTTTTTCAAATCAGGAATAAACATGTATTACATTAGTGTCTCTCATTTTCTAAGTGCTTCTCTGTGAGAGAGACCTAGGACAAATCAATATTATTGAAGTTGTGAAGAAGAGGCTTCCTCATTGGCACTAGGAAAATGCCAGGCTGGAACAACACTTGGTAATAAAAATTGATGCCAAAGTTTTCAGGATGTGATAGACACACATCAATCCCCTTTATTCATATGTGACTGGTAAATTTGGCTGGCATATCCTACTTAGATCCTTTCTTGGATGCACACATCGTGGTGAGGGAGTTTGACCGTGTCAGAGAAGCCAAGAGCAGTGCCCTCGGGAGGCTAGACTACAATATGTAGAGAATGGATATAATGAAAGAACAGAACAAAAACCCCCAGGAAAAACAAGATAACTCTTCCGGAAGATCCAAGAAGTCCAAGAGAAATTTAAGCCTAGAATAGGAATGCTGAAAGATGAACAGGGAAGCGCACTATCTGACAGTTAAAATACAGAGAAGATAGAAAGAGTGTACTGAAGACCTATATAGAAGTGATAAAAGGACAGCAAATTAATTTGAAGAGGAATGTCCTGATGGAGAAGAACTTGTAATTCTAGAAAGTGAAGTGAAAGCTGCTCTGAAAGCACTGGAAGGGAATAAATCATCGGGGTAGATGGGATATAACTATTTCAAGCCACAGAGGCTGCATCTGTTAAAATTCTAAGCAGACTGTACCAAAAATAAAGAAATCAAAGCAACATTCAATATACATTCCAAGGTCCTTGGTTACTGTCAAGGAGTGTTGTAACTATAAGACTCTAATTTCCCATGCAAACAAACTGATGTTCAGGCTCTGATACTGAGCTCTGTGGAGCAGCGGTTAAACTGTATTAAGCCTCTGCTCATGATCTGCGTTTGGTTTCAAGATTCAGGTAGCTGGCTCAAAGCTGACTGAGATTTCCATCCTTCCAGAGTATTTTAAATGAGTAGCCAGCTTGCTGGAGGGCAAAATGCTGTCTGCATAGTTATGTAGTAAACTGAATTTCAGAAGATCGGTCTATGCTGTCGACTGCAGCAAAGCTTTGTCTGCATGAATCATGAGAAACAGTGGATTGCCCTGATGTGTAACCTTTATTGAAGTTACCAATACAATGATATAGAGACACAGACTGGTTTCTTATAGGCAAAGATGTCAGACAGTGCGTGCTTTATCCCCTTACTTGTCCAATCTGTATGCAGAACATATCATATAGAGAAGATTCAGATAGAGAGTGATAATTGGAGAATGGAACATCAATAATTCAACATATGCAGATGACACTATTTTACTGGCAGAAAGCAGCAATGATTTGAAATGACTAGCATTGCGAACAAGAAGCTACTGTTAGGACAGAATATGGAGAGACAGAATGTTTTCCTATAGACAGTGTCAGACAAAAGACAGAATTCATGACTACAGAAGACCTAAGCAACTTTAATGTTGGCAGTTAAGAAATTGAAGTGGTTAAAGATTTTGTATACCTTGGTTCAGTCATCAGTCCAAATGGAGACTGCAGTCAAGAAATCAGAAGACTGAGACTTTGAAGAACAGCAATGAAGAAACTAAAGAAGGTCCTCAAGTGAAGGGATGTGTCACTAGAGACAAAGACCAGCATATCCACACCATTGTATTCCCAGTCACAATATTGTATTCCCAGGTGTGGAAGCTGAAAGGAAAAAAATGTTTGAAATGTGGTGCTGGAGAAGAGCCTTGGAGATACCTGGACTGCCAGAAAGAAGAATAAATGGGTCCTAGAGCAAATCAAACTTGAACTATCTTTGGAGGCAAAAACAATGAAGCAATTTCTAGAATATTGATTTACGGCCTGAAACATAAGCTGAAATGTGTAGCCTCTGGTTATTTTGTAGCCTGTTGTGTGTTTCATATCAAATGTAACTGATGAACAAGGTCAGTGGACTGCCAGAAAGAGGAATACATGGGTCCTAGAGCAAATCAAACTTGAACTATCTTTGGAGGCAAAAACAATGAAGCAATTTCTAGAATATTGATTTACGGCCTGAAACATAAGCTGAAATGTGTAGCCTCTGGTTATTTTGTAGCCTGTTGTGTGTTTCCTATCAAATGTAACTGATGAACAAGGTCAGTTTGTCCTGTTCAGAAGTTGCTGTTCCAGGCTGTTTTCTGAAATATTAACATTTTGTCCAGAATGGTACTGTAACATGGTTCTTTTGGAGTTTCTGGCTTATTATATATCTTCCATCAGGCCATGTGTGGCCGGTGAATGTGGTTAGTTTGCCCTACTTAGAAGTTGCCATTCCTGGCCATTCTGTTTTGGCTATATATGGGGCATTAAATTGTTAATAAAAGTGTGATTATCTCATGGGTTTGATTTTTAGAGTAGTTGTAATGTGTGCCCATCTGGCATTGGTTTTTATTATCAAGTGCCTGTTCCAGCTTCTTCTGTTCTACCTTTTACTTACTCACTTCTTGACTCGATAGGGATGGGACGTTCAGAATTTGAGGATTTCCAGCTCCATAATTCATCCAGAACACACATTCAGCAGAATTATAATGAAAGCAGCCAAATAAATAAATAAAAGTGCCCTGCTCTACTGTAGGAATCCTAGGTATACCTCCGAGTTGCAACAGTCCATGGATGGGTGAATCCTGGCACTCATCTGGCTGTATAGAGGCAGCCTCCATCTTTTCCTGGAAGTCCTCAAATTCCCAAAATCCCATAATTATTTGATGCCTGGCAGGTTCAGTCTCCCTTTAGTTAGAGCTTCTTAGTGAGTACTGTATAAGAATATTTAATATTCATATACTAAGTTTTAATCAGAAGATTCGCCATGTGATTTATGTAAATAGTTCTGAAGCAAGTAGCTGATGCTAGTGGTGTGGCCAAGAATGGTTCTATGATGTGATCTTGATGTCTTGTTGCCACTCATGTCTTTAGATGCTTGCTTTACAATAGACACACTGAATCAGTGGGATACACAGAAGTGCTAAATTACCATTCAGTACTTCTGCTCTGATGCTAATATGCTCTGTTTAGGACTAGCATTTGGACTTAAGCCATAGAATGTAGTTGTTATTAGGAGCTGTGGCTTCTTATTATCACACAGAATGTGATTTTTGGGTTGCCTGATAGTACAAATGTCAATGGGCATTTTGTGCTTTTGTGCAAGAACAGTCCTCAGATAATTCTCATTTGTCTTATTTTCCACATCTGTTGTGCTTTTGTGCAAGAACAGTTCCCAGATACAGTAATTCTCATTTGTCTTATTTTCCACATCTATGAATGTTCAGGGTGGAACAATGAATCGCTCAACAAAACGTTCATCAACAGAGCAGGTGGCCGGCCAGCCTGTGGACACAGCCTCTCTACTCAATGATGTGGAAGACGAAGGATCCATCAACTAGGAAAGTCCTCCAGCAGCTACTGGGGCGGCACAAAGTATCCAAATATCTTTTTTATAAAATAATCTTTCTTTCCCTCCTTCCAGTATTTTAAAAGGGAGTTTAAAGAACATAAACCCATACTGCTTGTGTGTCCTTTTTCTGGGCATTTCAATAGACATAAACTGAGTTTATGGTAGTTTCTCACACTACAAAATCTGCCAAGGATTTAAACAAATCCTTTAATAAGTTTGAGAATTAAAGCTGCTACATTTAAACTGTTTTTAGGCTTGACAGTCATAACAGAATGCCTTAACAAGAGGTCTTGTACTTAGTGTAGAATTATTTCACTTATTGGTTTTTAGCATTCATACATACATAGAAAATCTCCCACATCTCTTTGCTGTCTTTTGTTGCTTCTAATAGACCAGGGGTTTCCAAACTTTTGAGCATGAGGGCCACTAGGGGTCTCCAAACTTTTGAGCATGAGAGCCACATCATATATTTTCAACGTTTTTGAGGGCTGAATAAATACACACCTGCATATGCGTGGCCGCACACATGGACATCTGCCCACACGAGCTGAAGGATACAGGCCAAACAAAATGGCAAGGCAGGTCGGATGTGGCCCATGAATATGCACATGCATATGCGTGGCCGCACACATGGACACCTGCCCGCACGAGCTGAAGGATACAGGCCAGATAAAATGGCAAGGCAGGTCGGATGTGGCCCACAGGCCGTAGTTTGGAGCCCTGTGCAATAGACCACGGATAAGTGAAATCACAGATACTCATCCTGCAGATATTGGGGGAGGGTGGGTTCCTACTATATTTGAAAAATATTTCTGCAATATATTAATCTTAGAACTGCAGAGCTGGAAGGAACACTATGGATCATTGAGTCCAGGCCTTATCAAGGAGGCACAGTGGGGGACTGAACACCCAACCTCTTGCTCTGCAGCCAGATGCCTAAACCACTGAACTATCCAGCAGTTCACTGGCATAATACATTTATTGTTTTATGAATATATATACTGTTTTTTAAAAGGAAACCAATGCCACTTTTTTAGACTTCTTCCCTGCAAGTACTTTTTAAGTGTTCCAGTGCAGTGAGAGGATGCCACTGTTAGGTGTCATTTACTTTTTTTCCTATTAGCCTTGTTGCTTCTGGCCCACCTGTGGTTCCCACACTTCCTTGCATGGATTTTGTCGCCGCTTCGGTTGGAATGGATTTGTTCCACGGGGTTTCCCAGGATGGTCTGTGCATGGTCTGTTGTCTCACCTCTGGGCCTCCCACGGCTGCCCCTCTTGAAACCTTTTTCTTCTTTCTCTTCCATCTCCCCCCCCAAAAAAAAAATAAGGTGGCTTTCTGTAGGTCTTTCTATTCTATTCCTTTCCAGCATATTCCCTAGGGACCTTCAAACTCAGTCCACTCCCCTGTCCAGGGGTTGTCTTGTACTATTTCCACCCAGTCCTCCTTTTTTTCATCCTCTTCCTCCTGCACCCAACAAGCTTCCCCGTCTTCAATTTCCAACTGGCCTTTTTGCCCTTTCACCTCTCCTTTTATCTCTGTACCCTTTCCCACCAAAATAACACCCTCTAGTGGCTCCTCCTCCTCCTGCCCCTGCTCCTCCAAACATGTAGTCCCTTTAGGTCTTCTCCCAGGGCAGAGATTTGTCTCTCGGTGTCTTCAATTGAGGAGGCGGAAGGTACACTCTGAGGAGTGCCTCTTGGGGTACTCCCAGCCTCACACCCTTACCCATAATGAATTTATTCTTAATCACAGACCAACGTTGAGAACAGTTCTGAAGCCGTTTGGGAAAGCTTTTACTACAGAGCAACAGCCACCTCTTGTTACCAGTGCCTTACCTCAGGTGGATCCTCTTCAAAACCAAGACACTGCCCTGGTATTTTAAAAAACAGCAGTTCCCTTTTAGCAGTTTCTGAAGTGGTACCCTGTTTCCCTGAAAATAAGCCCTAGTATGATTTTTAGGATGCTCGTAATATAAGCCCTACCCCAAAAATGAGCCCCAGTTAAGTGAAACCCCGCTCTCCACCATTGTTCCGCATTGTGGAACAACCAGAAGATGACATGACTGTAAAATAAAGCATCCCCTGAAAATAAGTCCTAATGCATTTAATTCGCGAAGGCTTTCACGGCCGGGATCTAATGGTTGTTGTGGGTTTTTCGGGCTCTTTGGTCGTGTTCTGAAGGTTGTTCTTTCTAACATTTTGCCAGTCTCTGTGGCCAGCATCTTCAGAGGACAGCATTTTTGGAGCAAAAATTAATGTAAGACCCTGTCTTATTTTTGGGGAAACGCGGTAGCTATTACCAGCATGTAATGTAGCAGCTATGTGGTGGTGGTCTTTTGTAATTACCACTTGATAGGATAACGGTAGGGCTATGCTTGTATGAAGACTGCAGGAAGATAACAGATGAAGAAAGGGTAACATTTGGAAATCTTTGAAAGTCAGAAAGCATGTGAATGAGACTTAAACTGCAAGCCTGAAAAATAATTACTTCAGAGTTATGTATTAATGGCCAAAATCCTGTTGCTTAGCTTAGTACATCACACTAGGCTCATTTAATCAATGTAAGTCCCACTGATTCAATTAGAGTATAACCTTTTGCATCAGTGGAACAGAGTTGACTTACTAAATCCCCATTGATTCCATTGGCCTAACTGAATGTGATTTACCATGCTGAGCAACAGGAATTTGAGCATGGAATGAAGAGCTATCTACCTGTTTTTTAAATGTACACTGAGAGCTATTTTCAATAATTTCTCATCTACACGACATGTGCATTTACAAATGTTTCAGATGTACAAGCACTTCTGTTCCATGCTGTGACAGGCCACTGAACTCAATTTGGTACTACCTTGTACAAAAAAGCAAAAACTTAAGATTGGTTGTAATCTTCCCAAAATTTCTATAAATCAGCATTCATCAGATTATCAACTGACCAGCATTTCAATCTTAAACTAACAGAAACCACATACCATAAAGGGTAGGGGAAAAAAGGTATTGCTTACTTCAGGGCCAAGAAATAGTGCATACAACAAAAAACTTATTTTGAAGGGCAGCTAATATCTTCACCTAGTATGGGAATTGAATATATGATATCAAAATGAATCAAATAAAATTGACTCTTCCGTTCTAAAACCGATACAAAGTTATTGGAACAGAAATACCCAGTACCAGAGAGCAGGGTATAAGAATCAGAGGAGGGAGAATGGAGCAGCTTTACTTTCTTATGAGGATTTGTAAATCTTAAGGGACAACTTGTACTGTAATCTTTTCAAAACTGTTGGAATAAGCTTTCTGCAGACTGAAAGGTCAGTAAAAGTTTGAGATAATAACATTACCTCTCCACCATGTCTGATGGCACAAATAAATTTCATGGTTTTGTGGACCCTGCGTGTTTTTTCTTTGTCCCATTAATAACTACTGTGAATTAGAATTTATGTAGTACTTCAGAGCAAACTTTCATAACATGTGTTGGACAACTACTGTTAATTGGCAGTGCTGTTTGGAGATGATCACAGTGGTAGCCCAGCGCAACTGGAAGCCTAATACTGCAGTGGACTGTGCAGTAGAGTACCGGGGGGCATATTGCTGACTAACAGGCTAACTTTTTTTTAAATAAACTAAATTATATGTATTAAAGCTTGGGTACAATACGTTCTGAGAACTAGAGAGTTGTAAAAGCTTAATAGGAATGGCAAATGTTGAGTGTGTTGTGCAAAAGAAGGGTGACACAAGATCTGACTCAAAAACTGGCAAAACATGTTGCAGCTGGGAAAGATCCTTGTTCAGACATTTGCCCAGATTCAGAAATCCATCCTGGCTCTGAAACAAAAAGTCAGTCCTTCCCAGCTTCAAACATTACTTAATTGTATTTGCAGCTCAGAAAAGAAACATCCGTTCAGCCTTAGATTAGAAAACTGCCATTGTTGTTTAAGCTCCTCAGTAACATATCAGTGCAGACATACATAATAAATATACATCCACTACAGGTACTTTTATGGAATGCTTGGCACTCTGCATGTGCCAGTACTGACAATTAAAACTCATGGAGCCATACAGCAATAGAACGAAAAGTCAAAGCCCTGAAGATCTATCAACTGCATCAGAATGAACTAAACACAGCTGTTTATTGAGCAGTACATGATACATGACAGTTGAGCTTCATTAGCCCCTGAAAAGTATTGTATTGTTTCTAGATACATTCTGCTCCCAGCCATCCCTTAAGAAAAATGGCACAGAGATACTTAATTAAATCCGTTCAAGGCTTAGTTGATCTCGTAGCTGAAACAGAGGCACTGATAAAAAACACCTTAATTCATGCTCAGATAGTCCAAACTCAGTGCTTTAGATGGGAAGAAGAAACTCCAAAAACACAATGAAAAGAGGGGCAGGCTTTGGTCAATTGTTCCCATGTTGATCCTTTTAACATAACAGGAAATATCTTGTTACGCTTCTGCTGATGGGAAGTCCACCAGAACAGCAAAGCAATATTATGCCACAGACCAAGTGGAGGGCAGGTTTTCCTCATGAAAATTGCTGTCTGTGCTATGGGAACCTGTTACTATGCTGGCAGAATTTTCCATTCAGCTGTGGAATAATGACCAATAACTGTTAAGGCTCAGTGTCCATGACCAGCCAGTCCACTGCAGAGTGGGGGAAGGGCACTTATTATGAACAAAGAATGTTCAAAAGTGATTGGCAGTGAAGAACTATTGTTATCCTACTCTCCTCAGCAGAAACTAGCTTTTAAATTAAAAAAAGGCACAACATTTCATCTAACACTTCAACAGAACTCTTTTTTTTTTCAAAAATGTCTGACATAAAGCTTACTTCTTGGAATCAGTTTAAATGAATTTGGAGTTTTTTCCTTGCACTGGGAGCTATAATGCAAGAAAGGCCACTAACTCTTTGGTGTGCCTGAACACACATACATTGTGGAGACAAAAGGCAAGCCACTGTTAAGTCTAATCACTTGGATTTTGACAAATGACGAATCTAACCATTCAGTTCATGGGGAATTCATTTCCCTCCCTCCAAAAAAAAAAGTTTAAGGCCCCTCCCTTTTAGCAAGGAACACTTGGTCCTCCAAACAGTTTGGACTACAACTACCACAATCCCACACTTTTGGCTACGCTGGCGTGAGTTTCTGGGACTTGAGGTCCCAAACATCTAGAGACTCTTGACTCCTGCTTTAGTCATTTCCACCCCTGACCTATGTAGTGTAATTAAGAAAGATAATACAAGTAATTAGAAACAAATTTAAACAACCAGTGCAATGTAAGTTCTTGTATTGCAAAAAATCCTGGCATCCTTCCTGATGAGATAAGAGAAACAAAGGAAAAAAAGCAGAAGAATTTCAAGGCAGATAGTTCATGAAATAATTTGTGGCTCAAGATAGGACTGCCAAGTTTTTCCTAGAAATTTTATCTATACCTTTGAGTGTAAAGGGTAGGGCTGTAGCCAAAATACTACTTACCCCAAGTCTCCCCTGGCTGGCATGGTGAGAACTCCAGTTTTGCTATGTTGAAGACTACCAAAGAAAGGGGAGGGGGAACAGTCTCGCTCTGTATATTTAGATGTACAGGTCCTGTCATGGCAGGGGCAGGGAAGACCTGGTATCTCTACTGCTGGAGGATAAGCAGAAGTGATCAGAGGTAATCAAAGGCTCTTAGGGAGGGAAGATAAATAGGTCTAATGGAGTCAGCAAAGAATTAGGAAAAACTAGAAGCTTTTGTAGGGCATAAGGGGATTAATATTCCAATGGATGTTAGAAACACCACAAAGCAAAAGCAGCTTCCGTTTGCAAAGCATGGATTGGGCTGATCCTCGGTTGTTAACCACTTTGTTCGATAAGATTCGAGATCTACTTCTGCACAAGAGTGGTCTGGCAAAGTTCCTTCCACTATTACATGTCATCCACAACTGCAAATATTCTTTCCTTTCTCATTCAACTCACATCGTCTTTAAATTCCCAGGTAAAAACCAGAAAGTCAAGGCGTTTGAGACTGTTCCAGAAAGTTAATTCTTGCTCAACTTTGTTTTCGCTATTACTCCTCTTGAATGGTAAAGGTGTCTATTCCTCCCCCAGTTTCTATAACAAGATAAAGAGGCAACTCTAGGTTACAGTTTGGCCTTTGGTTGTATTTAGAGTAGCCCCTGCGCTATCAAGCACAGGTAAAATTTCTTCAAGGCTATATTACCTAATCTGAGTATTAATAAAATAATATTCTACCTTCAGTAGGAATGTGCACTGTAACTCCTTACAGGATTTTTTTCATTAACCATGGTCAGAAAGCAGCAAAAATATACAGGCTCAAAGGCTTTGCTTAGGACTGATCTGTATCATTAAAAAAGGAAACAAACAGAAATGCTCAAGCTAAATTCTGCCAGACCGTCGAATAAGACAAACCACTAAATGCCTCCTTCCTGATGCACCAAGACCTTGGAAACGTGGAACATGTTTCTGTGCTGACTCCATTAGGGAAAAAGAGAGTGGCATTTTCTAATAGAATACAATGCTGGATTTGCCTCCAGGGGGATTAAGAACTTTGTTGTGTGACCGTGGCCGTGGCCCCAGTCTGGGCTCATGATTGTCTATCTTGTGTCCAGGCTCCTTGGTATTCTTCTTCTGCAGTTCTCCACTCACATCTTCCACCTGGGGTTTTTTGTCTTCTTTCACTGAAGAAAACGATACATACATTGTTAAGTGGCCATGGTAAAACGTATTAGATTATATAAAATATGACAGGATCAAATAGTTGTCAAATACCGTATTTTTCGCTCCATAAGACGCACCTTTCCATAAGACGCACCAATTTTTTAGGAGAAGAAAAAAGGAAAATATAATCTGTTTTCTTTGCTCCATAAGACGCACAGACTTTCCACCCCGTTTTGTGGGGGGAAAGTGCATCTTATGGTGCGAAAAATACGGTATGTCTTCAGTTAGTAATTCAGTTAGCACTTCTTAATGAGACACAAAACTATTTCAACCTAAAGAATTTATCTTGAAGATAATAGTAAGATGCCATTTGGAGGATTCAACACACCTCTTAAGAAACTAACAGAGGAACACTTTGGTATTTGGTGGTTCTGCAGAAAAATCAAGCCCCATTGGCAATCTCCTAGCCAAGGTGTGGCAAGTGGCCATGGTAAAACGTATTAAAAATATGACAGGATCAAATAGTTGTCGAATATGTCTTCGGTTAGTAATTCGGTTAGCAGTTCTTAATGAGACACAAAACTATTTCAACCTAAAGAATTTATCTTGAAGATAATAGTAAGATGAGTTAGTAATTCAGTTAGCACTTCTTAATGAGACACAAAACTATTTCAACCTAAAGAATTTATCTTGAAGATAATAGTAAGATGCCATTTGGAGGATTCAACACACCTCTTAAGAAACTAACAGAGGAACACTTTGGTATTTGGTGGTTCTGCAGAAAAATCAAGCCCCATTGGCAATCTCCTAGCCAAGGTGTGGGATAGGATTTTGTCTTTATAGGAAAGAACAGAACACACAAAAGTGGCTCCTTTTTTCATGGTCAAGTTCTTTTGTCGATTCTGGAAGGAAAGCCTCTAAAATAAAAACAGTTATAGGAGATCTCTTTCCAGTATACAAGTTTCATGTTCTTTCACGTTTCTCTTTCATTTAGCCTTTCATTCATCCTTTGCAAAAGCAAAAAACCCCACCCAAAAACCCAAATTGTGTTCCTTATATACCACACCATAGTGTTAAAAGCATTCTCTGGGTGGTTTAAAATTTATTTATGCAGGCTGTACATTGCTGCCCCCTCCGCCCCGCAAGCTGGGTACTCAATTTACCAACCATGGAAGGATGAAAGGATGGGCGAACCTCAAGCCAGCCAGCTGGGATTGAACCCGGGTCATGAACGAAGTTTTGGCTGCAGTACTGCAATTTAACCACTGCACCAGAAGGCTCCTACCTGTATGTGACCTTTTTTTCATGCGTTGTATGCAAAGTCACCTACTGTATAATTTTTGTATCTAATAGTGTTGTAGAGAGTATGGCAGAAGTGCCGTGCGACCAAAAAGGGCTATCAGCAACTACTCAGAATGTCTTACGGGAGGATGTGAACCTGTAGTTTGGCCTGGGATCCTGCAAGGTGGATCCCTCTTCAATTTTGCAGGGTTATTTTTGCTGCTGCCGGCCAGTCTTTCCTTCCTTAGGTGTGACTTTATGGTGATTTGTTCTGCTGTTTGGTGTTCTCTGAGGACAGGCTGGTGTGCTCCTTTTCCTGGTGACTACTGTGCCCATGAAAACCAGCCCATCCCCACCTCCACCGTTATGGCTCCCTGTCAAGAGGTTTCTCAGTGTGGGTAGGATTCTTTTTGTTCTTAGCTTGGCTCCCTGTCAGAGGTTTCTCATTTTAGTGTGGGTAGGATTCTTTTTGTTCTTAGCCTATTAATGACACTGAGAAATTAAAAACTTCCTCTGCTGTTCCACAGAGGGAGAGAGGGAGCAAGGATTTAAAAAAAAACACTAGTTAGGGCAGTGCTGAAGTGCTATGCCTTTTAAGATTTTTTTAAAAACTGAAAGCTTCTGGAAGGAGAGGCTCTTTTTTGCTTTCTTTCTTTCTTTCTTTCTTTTCTTTTAAATGGAGGTGGGTTGTTTAAGATGCCTATGTCATGTGGATACAAAGCCTGCACCCAATGGCATCCCAGAGATCTAGAGGAAATAGGATGGGGTTCTTTTTTTGCTTTCTTTTATTTTTTTCCTTTTCTTTTAAAGGGTGGTGGGCCAGATAGGGTTGTTTAAGATGCAGCTGTCATGTGGATACAAGGCCTGCACCCAATGGCATCCCAGAGATCTAGGTGTCCTTATCCCTATTTAGCCCACTCCAAATGAGCCCTCTAACCAAGTGCTTAGATTATTATGCTGCCTGCTGGATTCAAAAAGAAGGCAAGAGAAGACAAGAGAAGACATCAAGTGGTAAGGAGAAATCTGTCCATATTGTGGTTTGGGAGAGGGGCTTTAATTGTATATTTTGCCTGCCTGTCTTCCTTGATTTTTGGGAAATGTGTGCTTCTATTTTGCTAGTCACTCCCCATGTGGGAGAGGCTGTGATTTATTTTATTAAAGGTGTATATATTGGTGTGATCATGTTCATGTTTAAGGAACAGACAAAAAAGCAAAGAAAATGTTAAATACATATTTTAAGTACAGATGTATAACTGGGAAAAGTGGAAGACTGTTCATCCTTCGAAACTGTTCGCTCCCTAGAAACAAAGCTTGTTCCACATACCTTCCGGTTTTGGTCCCAAGAGTGAATCCCCTTTGTCATTTAAGATTACAGCATGATCCTGAGAAGGAAAAGAATAACACTTTTTTTAAAAGTTACTGCCTCTTTTAAAAAGCCATCACAACCACTTCTGGATTTCTTGTGAGCACAAAAGGCCAGCAATTCTTGCCATCACTGTTTTTCAACGGCAGTATTTCTAGCTGTTCTTTGCATTTCTCCACTGTTGTCTGTATGCATGGGACAATTCAGCTTGATATCCTAGGCAAGCAGATTACAGCAGCTTCTCAGGTTTGGTTCTGTATCTAGTACTTGCTACAGAACATTTTTTTGTAATCAGAAATGCAATTTTACTTTAGCAGTCTGCAACAGACAAAAAGCTGGGTCAGCATAAGAATGCACTTGCTGCACACATTCTTTTTTATTATTAAAATAAACCCAAAAGTTATTATAAACTAACCAAAACAAAATCAACAAATAACATACATAAAATATAAATCTAAAAAATCCCACACAACTTAATCATTAGACATTCAACCCAATGTGCTTCCCCTACACACGCTGGGACCATTGCATCTGTGCTTCTAAACACTATATTCAGAGCCTCATATTCAGCTCAGTACTACAAGTGAAACCATAAAGATTTCATTTACAAGAATCCATCACTCAAGTTGGCTATGGCTCATGACTGCCAATGGAAAAGCACATATTTTGCATGTAGAAACCCCGGGGCATTCCCAAACCGAGTTGGAAGAGTTCCTGTTTGAAACCCTGAAGAGTTGCTGCCAGTTAGTGTTGACAATTCTGTGCTATGTAGACCAACAGTCTAACTCAACATAAGGCAACTTCCTATGCTTCAATACAGCAACAGCTTCTCTAAAGTTTTTCTTAAAGTAAAGGAAATGGGTGAAAGCTATATACGACCCATCTAGCATCCATTCATTTACCTTGGGCTTGTTTGGGTGTGCTTTGACAGTGCTGGCATGTGGAGAAGACCCAAAGATATTGCTGGCTTTTCCACCTGGTGGATTTGTAAGTTGCCGAGAAGGGTTAGGTTTATGCTCCTCAAAAATGCCACTGTCCTTCCCACCTGCAACGCAGCAGTAGTAATGGAAGTTACAAGGATAGCTATTTTATTTAGAGTCTTCCGGTAACAAGAGAAGGCCTGGAAAAAGAGTTCCTTATCAATGTTATATTTATTTTAGAACGGGTTCTGGTAAACATTTTTCCTGTGTTGTGTGCCCCATCCTTGGCCCCAATGGACTCAGGGAACAATACAGAACTCATGAAAAGAAGCCTAATATCTGGAAAACAAAAGGATCCAATTTATCTAAAATGGTTGAATCCATGATGAATACTAACTGGACAGTTTTGTCCAGGCGCTCTCTCTTATTATCTCTTCAATCTCTTTAACTATAATCCACAGGAAAAGCAGATGAAAGAAAATAAAGTGTGCAAGGCATGAACAGACGAAATGAATCTGGGTTGTAATTCATAGAGGCAAAACATCACTCTTCTGAAGATACAATGTGGCACTCAGGCAAAAGATGCAAGCAAATACTGTACAAGGGATTTTAAATTATTCTTGAGTTGTAACACAATATAGTAAATTCTGTCCTAGAAAGGTGAAATGTTAAAGAAAGCTATCCATTCTACAATCAAAACCAAACTTGCCACTGCATAAAGTCATCAAGAACAGGATGGTTCTTACCTGGAGGGTTTGTTCTCTTTGGCAAGTTGAGTGATCCTTCACCTTCTCCAAATATGTTAGACGCCATTCTGTGTGGCCTCAGTGACATAGAGACTTCTTCTGGGCTTCCAAAAAGATTGCTGGAGCCACCGCCAGGGGGCTTCAGTATCCTATGTTGCAGAGCATTGATTTGTTTAAAAAGTTAACCTTGAATATTTATTACATTTAATCTGAATTCTTCAGCACAGACTGACTGAACTATTTCAAAAATTTTCTTGAGAAATGTGCAAAAACATTTAAAAACCATAAATCATGGCCAGGTAAGGCCAGACCTTCCCTTAACTTTGGTGTGATTCATCCAACAGGTCTAGGGCAAAGAGAAGCCAAAAAATAACTTTTCTTGTGGTTGGGAAGCAAATGCTTTGGTGGGTTCAACACTGTTTACCATACACTACACACCTAATGAATGCTTAAGTGCATTAGAACTATGTGATAGACCTACTGTAGCACAATCCCAGTTACAGGATCAATTTATTTTGGGGAAAGAATGCTCCAACTACAGTGAGCTCTTGCACACACTCTTCAGTGCAATGCAAGATCAATGAATACTGCATATAAACAAAATGACCTCATTCTTCTTGTTGGAGATACTTTCACCACACCCAGCTTCAAACCGAACAAGGCTGAATAGTAAATACCCAACTCACTTCGCTCCTGTTGAAACCTGTCCACACCCTTTCACAGATAAAGTTACTTGCGTCTTGAAGTCAATTTCACAGATGTATGTCAAGAGGAACTTAACCTTTTTAGCTCACTGGATTTTATGAAGTTCCATACAAAAACCTGCCTCTGTTTTTTACTTTTCTATAAAAGTATGAGTACAAATTTATGGTTGCATTTAAGAAAAGGAACAGCTAAAAACAGACCACATTTCAGTTAAGTGTAGAAGAATGAAATTAAAATATAAAGAGACACAAAATCCATGTTTGTATATGGAGTCTCAATTGCAGAGTCCCACAGGTGTCGATCACCTCCCCAATACTGCTTAACATCTATATGAGGCTGCTGGGGGAGGTCAGTAGGGGGTTTGGAGCTTCATATCACCTATATGACACCCAGCCCTATTTCTCCTTCCATCCCTCGGCAGAGGATGCCATTCTGTCCTTTGAGTGGTGCCTGGAGTGGATGAGGGATAATAGACTGAGGGGGCTCTGGAGCTTCATATCACCTACAGTACATGACACCCAGCTCTATTTCTCCTTCCATCCCTCAGCAGAGGATGCCAATCTGTCCTTTGAGCGGTGCCTGGAGTGGATGAGGGATAACAGACTGAGGCTGAATTCCAGACAAGATGGAACTTCTGTACGTGAGTGCCCTTAGTGTTTGCAGACTGGGGATCTCCCTCTCCTTTGGGGGCACTCGCTCCACTAAGGATGAGGTTTGCTGCTTGTGCGTACTTCTGGACCCAGTGCTATCAATGGGGTGTTTGCAGACTGGGGACCTCCCTCTCCTTTGGGGGGCACTTGCTCCACTAAGGATGAGGTTTGCTGCTTGGGCGTACTTCTGGGCCCAGTGCTATCAATGGAGTCCCAGGTAATGTCTGTGGTCCACTTTGCCTATTTCCATCTGTTGTCTATTTCCATCTGAAGTGGATTGCCCAGCTGCATCCCTACCTTGATATTAGGTCTTCACCATGCTGGTCCATGCATTGGTAGTCTTGAGATTAGACTACTGTAATGCTCTCTACATGGGGCTGCCTATGAGGCTGCTACAGAAACTTCAGCAGGTCCAGAATATGGCAGCCAGACTACTAAGTAGTCTTTTAAAAAGTACCATTCCCTACTCTCGCCACTCTGTACTGGTTACCTGTTCACTTCTGTGCCAGCTTCAAGGTGATGGTGTGAACATACAAAGCCCTAAACAGTTTGGGACCTTGATACCTGGCAGAACGCCTCCTCCTTGTGGTGTATATATGTATAATTTTGATTTTATAATGATGTTTATTGTTTTATTGTTATTTAATGTCACATTTATTTAACGTGTACGTTGTAGTGGTCTGGTTGCAGCACACTGCAATTCGCTAAAATAATAAAGTAGGGGAAGAGAGCTTTTCTTAACAAAGAAAATCCGCTCTGCCATTCCTAATTTCACAACTTTTGACTTGTTTTGTGTCTTACGCTATTGATGTACGTGGCTTTTCCCATAATTATTCAATTTTTCTGCATACCTTTAAATGTCGTGGTTTGTACCCCTGCGAGTACATGTAACCCTAGTCTGGGAATCACTGTTCTAAAACAAAGCCAAGGGTGTAGTGAAGAGGGTGAAAGTGCTATTAAAGAATGCTGCTTAAATGAGGAAAGGGATGGCTGAAACTGTCACTCAGTGTGGTACGCACACAGTACAACTAAATTTCACTATACAAAATGACCATACAATTACAGCACAAGGAACTAGATGGCTCCATTAATGAACCAACGTCTATGTAAAAATTTCTCTTTTATGTACTTATAATCCATTCCAGATACTGGAACTTTTGCCATCTTCCAGAATTATGGAGGGTTTCTGTAAAACCAAAGTGCCTTAACTGGAACAAGAAACAAAGAATAGCATTCTGCTTTGGAGTTACAGTTGTTTTCTTTCAGCATACCACAGGGCAAATCAGTCTGTAGCTTTGCCTCTCTCTCCATCATAAAATAAATAAGAGGAATAGTCCCAGAAACAGACGCACAGGCTGGTATCACTTAAATCATCAAACTTAAATTTAAACATTCTCAACTGCTTAGGCACTGCTTGGCAGCCATTCTAGTTTTGGTTTCAACTTGGAAAATGCATTGAAATAACTGCTGTTTTAAAATCTATTACAAGACATTTAGCTACGGCCAAAAAAAGAAAGTTAGCAAGATCCTGGCCCTGGGCAAGATCAGGCCCACTCCTAAAGTAGGAGAGAAACAAGAAGCAGTAGCAGGATTTCTCCTCCACCACTACTTCTGCAAATCTATTAGACAAATGAATTGTCAATCTTGTAAAATACTGAAAGTTGTCAGTAATTCAAAATGCATTTATTAAAATATATTCATTGTTCAGGTAGTGACACACAGACATTCAAAGAAAAACTTAAACCTTGCATAAATTCAGTATCAGCATAATGGTATTCACCTTGGCACTGCACATACATGAAACCTAGTATGTGGAAATCTCTCATATCAGCAAAAAGAGTTTGCTCAGCATCCAACCCTAAGACAGGTATTCCTCCTTGAGGAACACAACATTTACACTATAAATATGGAGATTTTAACACAGCCATTGAAACCTAGACAGTCTCTAGATCCTTGCTTTTTACTAGATCTTCTTTCTCCATCCATATAGAGTTCATATGATGTTTAGAGGCAAAAATATACTCTCTTTAACACTGAAGCAGATGCTGGGATAAACTGTACATTAAAGGAAAATTCCTATTTGCTAGACTGTTTTCCATCCCCCATCCATTTCATATTTTATTGTGTGGGTTAAACAGCTCCTTCTATAAGAAGACATGTTCAGAAATAATATAAAAGCAACAGTAGTGGCTGTCAGCCCTTTCTTCAGTTAGAAGAATTTGAATGCTGAGTATTTCTAACTGATTTTAGCAGCAATTGTATCTGGAGGTTGGCACAATGTTGAAGGGGGGAAAAAGGAGCCAAGACAAGTAAATTTGCAGTATCTTTAGTCACCAGAATTTTATTTATTCATTTATTTATTTATTCGATTTATATCCTCCCTCCCCCAAATCTGGTATATTCTACCACTCTGGGTGGCTTGATTCTAAAATTTAGAAGGGCTGGAAGGCTTAGTTGCACAGTTAAATATTGGAAAGCAGTACTCTTTGTCAAAATGTTGACAGCTGAGACATAAAAGAATCAACAGGTCTGAGATAATCAAACTACAGCATTCAGGCACAGCTCTAACACATGACTTGACATGAGCTTGCTTGCCTGAAGATATGCAGCATCCGTATAATGGGAGGGTGATTTCAAAGCAGACTTTGCTCAAACATTCTGAAGAGATACAAGGGAGCAAGGAAAGGAACTAATACTGGAGCACTATACCTTCTCTTACTCTAGTCTCTGTAAATATATTTCACACACAATATTCTAGATTGACCAATACACTTCTCCCTTTAACAAGACTGGGGCTGTGGTGCCACACTCCTGTAGTTCAAAACTCCATGTATAACTCATACTCTCAAAAACATAACTACAAAGAATCAATAGTTGATTCACTTAACTCACACAGTACTCTCTATTTGGGATCTCCTCTATGGTGTTGACAACCCCTTCTATACAATACAGTGTGTAACTCTTTAAGGCCTTTATGACCCCCTGATCTATTTATTGATTGATTGATTTGTATCCCGCCCATCTGGTTGAAATAACCACTCTAGGCAGCTTCCAATATAACATGAAAAACTAATAAAATAACACAACAATATTACATAAAACTGATCTAGAGGCTGAATTAAAAACTTTGTGTTGGGAACAGGAAAACCATTTTGATACTTTCATTGTTGAACTTATGGGGTACATGTACGTATGTATAGAATTTTAAATTCATGTATAACCAAAAGGGAGAAGTGTAATTTTATTTGATCACTAAAGTATTTCATAGACATCACAAAAATTGCTTGAGAAAGGGTGGAAATCACACAGTCCTGAAAGATGGCAAAATAAAATCACTTTGGACAAGTCGCATATATACCCAATCACCTACACAAAATATTCTTTGGAAGAGAACAAAATTGGCTCCTTTGGTGGATGAGGTTATAGGAGAGGTAGCTGTGTTATTCTGGGCAATCATTATAGGTAAAAAAAAAAAAAAGAACAAATAAAGACAAAAATGTGGGGGCACCCAAAAAGTGTTACATTTTAATGTGAACTTTCATGGACAAGTCCGCTTCCTTAGACATAATAACAAAGAGAGAGAACATGGCAAATATTAATACATAGTACAGTAGTACCTCAGTTTACAAAATTAATGCATTGTAAATTTATATTACATAAAGCAAAAATTTCGTAACCTGAAATTTAGATTGTCATAGGAATGGGAGGCAGTGCTATATACTTCCAGACATAATGTGTCCTTTGGAAATTTTCTTTGTAAGAAAAAAAACAACACAAAACTTATACAGATGCAT